TGATTCTGCTCACCTTACTCAGCATCAGACCATACAAGCCTTTTCAGGTTTTCCTGAAGTCTGCCTGCTCATCATTTCTTATAGCACAATATTCCATTACATTCATATACCACAACTTGTTCAACCATTCCCCAATTGGTGGGCATCCCCTCAGTTTCCAATTCTTTGCCATCACAAAAAGGGCTGCTATAAATATTCTTGTACATGCAGGTCCTGTTCCTGTTTTGGTGATCTCTTTGGGATACAGCCCTAGAAATGCTATTGCTGAGTCAAAGGGTAGGCACCTTTTTATAGCCCTTTGGGCATAGTTCCAAATTGTTCTCCAGAATGGTTGTTCACAACTGTGCCAACAATGCATCAGTGTCCCAATCTCCCCACCTCTTCTCCAACATAAAATCCCACCTTCTACAAAAAGTCTTTCCCAATCTCCCTCAATGCCAATGCCTTCCCTTTGGGGTTGACTTCAGATAATGCTGTGTATAACTTGTTTGTACGTAGCTATTTGGAAGTTGTCTCTCCCAACAGAATGTGAGCTCCTTGAAAGTAGGGATTGATTTTTGCCTTTCTTTGCATCCATAATGCAAAGTACATCTGGCAAGTCATAGGCATTTAATAAATGATTGTTAACTTATTGACTAGAAGGGACCTTGGAGATCAACTAGTCCAAAACTCTCATTTTACAAAGAGGAAAACTAAAGCTGAAACACTGACAAGACCCACCTTATGGGACTGTTATGAGGAAAATATTTTGTGAATCAAAGAGTTATATAAAAGTGAGTTGTTTTTATGTTCAGCTCTCTCACAACCTTCAGTGCAAAGAGCCAGCCCTAAGCAAATATAAAATAACACAAATTTCTAGGAACTTATGGAGATAGCATACCATAGTGGGAAAAGAGCAGTTGGGTTAAAATCCCATCTCTGACATTTATTATCTCTGCGACCTTGGGCAAATCACTGAACTTCTCTGTGCCTCAGTTTCTTCATCTGTAAAAAAAAAATGGGGAGATTGGACTTGATGATTTCAAAGGTCATACATCTAGTTCTAAATCTTCCAACCTGTGATTGCTGAAATCCAAGTCCCAGGACATGCTCTCCAAAACAGTCTCTCAAGTTTCTTCCCATTCCCAACAGCTTAATGGGTCAATTGGCTGCTCATTTAAAGTCTCTGAAGTACATATCCTCTGTAAGAGGTGAGAGATAATCATGGAAGCAATGCAAAGGAAGCTGATATCCAGGCCCATGAGTCATCTCTATCCCATGGCACTAATCAGACACCTATTTTCCTATGACTTGGAACAAGGAATCACAGTGGATTCCTTTTTTTCTAAGAACTTTTGAACAAGAGTAGATAATAATGACCTAACCAGGTCTTCCTATCTTCTCTCTGTTTTCCTTTGCTTTGCCAAATCACTCTTTTCCAAAAGAGTTCCTCTCATACACCACAACTCTGATCTTCCCTTTTACTCTAGAAGACTGGAATTCTGTTTTTAATCTCTGCTCTGCCATTCACTAGCCTCTCAACCTTGAACAAGTCATTTCTTCCTGGGTCTTAATTCCCTCTACTATGAAATGAAGGGGTTGGGCTAGATCATTTCTAAGATCCTTTCCTGTTCTAAAATTCCAATAGTCCTGCTTCCAAACTCTCTCACTGGCAGCTTGTATTGAAGTCCTAAGAACTTCTGACGCTAAATATTCTCTGGTTAAATACTTAATGGCAGATAAAAAAATTCCCATCCTTACAAAAAGTGATACCAGGGACCTTGGACACAAAGATAAAGCTATTGGGGGCAGATAAAGAAATTCTCATCCTTAATAAAAATGATGCCAGGGACTTTGGATACAGGCCCCAGTCGTAGTTTCTTAGGTTCCCCGAGAAACAAATTCAAACCTTCCTACCTGAGCTGATGATTTAAAGACAGAGAGACATAGCCTTCCCTCAAACAAAGAAAGCTGAGACTGGAGGAGAGAGGGAGATCCTGACTTTAGTGCCTGGAGAAGTGCTGGGAAGGACTAAGCGAGAGCTGTAGGCCACTGGGGATTGGCGCCAGGAAAGCTGCTTGTCCAGGAAGGAGATGGGGTTGGGTTTAATCAGGAAGAGATCCAGGAAGGGTTTTTTAATTTGGGGGTGAGACTTGTTCGGGGTGAGACTCCACAGCTGGTTTGGCTTTGAACCACTCTCTTCGGTGCTGAACCCCTGTCTCCTCCCCAACACCTGCTCTGTCCTCCCACCCCCACCCAAACCCCGCCCCCCCAAGGTGCTCAAGGCCACTTTGATGTGCCGCGATGGATGCTGGGGAAGCTGTGGCTCACAGGCTTCAGGCGGGGCTCATCACTTTCTCCATAACCCCTAGAGCTGAGCTCCAAGCCGGGATTAGGAGGCAGCAGGGACTGATCAGGAGCCTCAGGCCTTACAGTCTCTGCTCTACCCTTCCCTGTGTGACCCTGGGCGAGTGATTACTACACCTCTCTTTATCCTCATTTCTTCATCTCTAAAGTAAAAGGAGTGTATTACCTGAGTTCCAAGGTCCCTTTCAGCTCTGACATTCTATACCTTCCGAATAACCCAATTCAGTTTGAGTCTAGAGTCAGACCGTCAGCCTGGTGATTCCACACACACACACACACACACACACACACACACACAACCACAAACAACTGCACACACATAATCCACATACACACCACCTCCAGTTTGCACCTAATGACTTACACTCTTATTTATAGTAGATGGATAGCAACCTGGCCCTGCAGCCAGGGAGCCCTGAGTTCAATTCCTCCCTGACACAACACAGGTCGTGTGATCGTGGGCAGGCTGATCAACCTCTCAATGCTCTTGGTGGCTTTTCTAGGTCCCAGAGGTGGTGCTGACCTTCAGTGGCAAAGGGTTTTCCACCATCCAGAAGTCAGGAATTTATTGGGCCAATGAAATCACAGGCCATATTTCTCCTACTGTTACAAAGCACAGAGAGCATACTACCATGGAGTCCCTTAGAGTGGGGAAGGCCTGATGCTTACACATGTTAGCTATGGACAAACCAGTTAGTGCCCCCCAAAAATTCTTTTAAATCTGTAAAACTATAAAGACACCCATTGAGGGTAGAGTAAAAAGAGTGCTGGAATTTTTGTTAGAGGACATGGGTTCAAATCTTCTCTTGGCCACTAGCTGTGTGGTCTTAGATAGGTCACTTCCCTCCTCTGGGCAGGCCTATTTCCTCATCTGGAAAATGAGGGAATTGGACTAAATGACCTTTGAGGTCCTTTCTGGCTCGACATCTGGGAAATGTCAAGACAAATTGCCTATCCAAATCAGTGGATGGAGTTCCTGCATTGAGAACACCAATGAAATCATAGTTCCCAAATTCCTTTTCCACCTAAAATGGTTAGAAAATGCTTTCACAAATACGATCTGCTTTGATTGTCATAATACCTCCCTAATATCCCCATTTTACAAATGAAGAGACTGATGAAATAACTTGACCAAGGCTACACAGTGATGGGGCTTGGGTCCCACCCCTCAGTCTTTTGACTCCAACACTCTACACAGCCTCTCCAGGTGGCAGGGGACACCTTGTTAACCCTAAAACCAGTCACCCATCCCAAACTTTCTCTTTGACACCTCTTCACCGTGAAAAGACATTGCCTAATCCAGCTCTGTTGCACAGTCAGCACATGTCTAGTGGGTAACCCACACAAAGGGTTCTCAGCTTTGCCTCTGGATAGGATTCATATCAATTTGCTGTATTAAATGTCTCTGATACCATTTATTCTTTATTGTTCATTTCATCCCATTTCATCAATGGGAAGCCTTGCCCCCAAATCCCAAAGGTATCCTGCAGGGGGAATGGGACTGAGAATTTATTTGTCTCTAGGGGCAGAAGATAATGGCTGTAGCTTATTATTTTCCCTCAGCTCTTCTTTTAGACTCCATTCCTCAAGTTTTTCTCAGTATGGACACCATAGCTAGCCTACCCTTATTCCATTCCTAAGAAAGGACTTTCATTTACTTGGAAGAGAATTGAGGAAGCTCTGAAAGGATACACAGATAAGCAGAACAGTTTTATTACTACCACATTAAATTTAATACACCAGGGGCAGCTAGGTGGCACAGTAGATAGAGCACCAGCCCCGAAGTCAGGAGGACCTGAGTTCAAATCCAGCCTCAGACACATAACACTCACTAGCTGTGTGACTCTGGGCAAGTCACTTAACCCCAATTGTCTCACCATAAATAAATAAATTTAATGCAACACTAAAAAAAAAAAACAAATTGCACATCTCTATAACAGAGATTCCAAGTTTCAAACACAATCTTTTTTTTCCTGTTCTTATTTGTATATTGAGCTGTTCATGTTTGTTGATTTTTAAGTGCATAATAAAGCTGTTAAAACAAAATTTTTAGAGAACTTTCATTCATTCAATTAATCATTTAACACAAATTGTCTGATCACAGCATCGCTAAGCTCTGTGGTGCACACAAAGTGAATGGCACATGGTCTCTACCGCCAATAAACTTGCCAGAGTATGAAATTCAAGAGACCCAACAGGGATTAGCTGACACTGGCAGCCGTGTCCTTTCTCTCCCTCTTCCCCAAATTTCCCATCATCTCCATCCTTACACAAGGCCACCCCAACCCTTCCTCCTGCAATGGAGATTTAGAAGTTGGATAAACATTGCAGATGGATTTAAGAATCCAATAAACATTACCAGTGGATGGAGACCACACCTACATTAACAGGAGGCCTGTGGGAACAATCTTCCCATGATCTTTTGGAGGGAGTGACCTTCCACCTTGCAGATTCTCTGGCATCTGGACTCCTGTTCAGGCACTACTCCGAAAGGTTCCAGATCCAGATTCCAAGACATTGGAGGAATGGGCTACAGGAAGAGCTGAAGGGGTCCTCCTTGTACCATCTCCCTCCTCTCCTCCCCCATTCCAAGAATGTCAGTACAGCTGTCCTGAGCCTTTTCCTACTATTAAAAAAAACAACACACTAGAAAGTTCATCTAGAAATCATTTATTTACATTTTCCTTTGGAAAAAAATATACAGATACTTTCCCCATTGATTTCTCAGATGTTAGGACTTTCAAGGTGAAGGGAAGGGAGAAGGGATGACAGCCAGAGAAAGGCTGTACTTCCTATCTGAGTTATTCAGCCCATGGAACATGGGCTTCCCTGAGATTAGCCCTGGAGCAAAGCCTCCCTGGTAAGATGAGTCCATGATACCACCCAGGACCTGGGCTTTTTTCAGATTCTGTCAATACTAAGCGGGCCTGGCATGAGGAAAAGCGGAGGAACACATAATGGCAAGTATCAAGAATGGTATTATAAGCCTGAGGATGGAGGAAGGGAAGAGGGCCCAGGAAAATTTTTAGAATGGTGTGTCCCTCACCCCACTTCTGATTAGGCTCAGGCCTTCAGAGAGAGAGAGACACACTCCTCAGCACTGGTCACACAGGGAAACACTGCAAGCCTATTTACTGTGCTCTTTAAACCACTCCAACACAAGTGCCTTGTTCTCATTCACCCAATTTATATTGGCCCTGGTCTTCTCCAGAGCCTGCTCCAGGGCCCGGGTTCCTGAACCAAAGCCGATATCCATGTTTTCCTGTTTGAATTGTTCAAGCTGCAGAGGAAAGAGAAAATTAATCACATCTTCCTTTTGCTTTAGCCGCATTTCTCACTTTCTGGAAGCCACTATCTTAAGGAGATGGTTGATCTACCCATTGGGCCCTGAAATCCTTTTCAGGATGTACCCTTTCCAGAGATAGTAACCCATATTCCATAGGAAGTAAAAAATCTAAGCTAACCTTTCTACACATACAACCCTCCCCCTAATATATATGTCCTTTAAGGAAATGCCAGTACCTCTGAGAAATCAGGTAACAGGATCACAAGAAGTTAGAGCTAGAGGGACTTTGGAGGTCATTTAGTCCAAACCTCTTAGTTTCCAGGGAATGAGGAAACTGAGGCTTAAAAAAGGTTAAGTGACTTGCTCAAGATCACACAGATAAGTAAGGGACACAGCCAGGATTTCAACGCAGGTTCTCTTAACTCTGAGTTCAGCACCATTTTCCACTGTACCACATGGCCCCATCCAGTCCAACCCTTTCATTTCACAGATAAGAAAATGAATGGCCTGAGAGAACTAATTTGACCAATATCAAGCAGGTATTAGGTCCTGGGTTTCCAAACTCAGTGTTATTCTCATTACACCATGCATGCTCAATGGGATTATGCAATGATCCACTGAGAAAATAAATATCAGTCTTATTGTTGAGGCAATCAGACTCTGGAAAAGGACCTGATGGGGCAGGAGCCCAGTAGGAGCCTACAACCACTCTGCCATCATGGTGGTTCTTCTAAACTTCCTTCTTCTCAAGAAGCATGGGGTGGTTGTGGCACTGCCCAAGGCACAGATGAGATGACCTAGAAAGAACCTTACCTGTTGTAGTTCAAACTCTGTGGAAAACCTCCGAGTCACTCCCTGGATTAGGTTGGAGAAGGAGAAGGAGCCACCACCGTAACTGCACAGAGGGAAGAATAGGTCAGAAGAACTGGTCTCTGCTTTCCCTCCTTCCCAAGGGGGCCATCACCTCCTCAGGATAAAGTGAGGTCATGGGAAGCTCTCATCAGCAAGAGACACAGTGGAGCTTCTCAGGCTCTAAACCTAGGTAATCTGATAATCAAAATCACTACTACCTTGGAGCAAATTATGTTGTGCAAGCCTCTAATTCAAACCCATGTTCTCTGGCCAGGGCCTTCATCAGCTTCCCAACCTCGAGCCCCTCCTCAGGAAGAGAAGGGCATCACATAATTTAGGATTTGAAGGAAGGAACCTCAGAGATCTAGTCCAAGTCTTTAACTTTACAGATGAGGAAAGAAACTGAGGCTCCAAGACTGGAAATTACTTTCCCAACATCACATAGATAGCGGGCCCAATACAGTAATCACTCCCCAAAGCCCTTCTAGAAGACTCACTCCACAAATAGCTTCTTCCAGTTGGCTCGAACAAAGTCCCAGGTCAGACTTTGCCCAATCACATTGCTGCAGATGCTGATTAGGGTAGAGGTTGCATCCTGTTTCCGGATCAGCGTGGGATCCAGAGTGTAAGACAGGTATCTGGGCAGAGAAAATCAGAACTAGTTAGGGTAGCAGCTTCTCAGTTTTTATGAGAACTAAGGTTGCAAGAGTACTTTTCTCCCCTGAAGCCAAAGTACTTTCCTGTTTATTTTTTCATGTAACCTTTGTTGTCCTATTGTCAAAGGACCAGCCAAGCTAAGTCACAGTGACTCATCCCTACATCAAACAGAGCCATAGACTTCTCAGCCACAGGAATTCCCAGAGACCTTCTATTAAGTCTCAGAGGAGAGATGCCATCTGCACTGGTGACTACACAGGCAAAATTGCAGGTATTTGAAGTATTAAAGAAATACCCTCCTTACTTAACAGTATGCTATGAGGAGTAGGTAATTCCTGGGGAGTAGCATTTTAGGGGAGGAGGAGAAAAAGGGAATGTAAGGAGATTAGGTTCTAAAGTCAGCTGAAAGGTGAATATAGATCTCCTACAGGCAAAATTATTTTGAAAATTCTTTGAATACCCCATAGATTATAGTACAATACAAGGTGTCCCAAAAGTCTTAGTGCAGTTCTTGGTTGGCTAAGAGCTTAAAACTGCACTAAGACTTTTGGGACACCCTGTATCTTGAAACTATTGTAGCTGATGATGGGCTGGATATCTTTAAAAGAAGACAACCTATCCTCTGATGGGTTGATTGGTTTTCTAAATTGCTTTTCCCCCTCATTCTTTTTTTCTTCTTTGTTACAAGTGATAGTTCACTGAAGAGGGAAGGAGGAGGGACACATTCAGAAAGAATGGTGACAGAAATGACAGAAAAAAACAAAAGATAGCAATCAACTTTTTTGAAAGAAGGCAAGTGGTATCAGAATAAATGGATCTGAGGTGACTGCTATAGAAATAGCTTAACTTTCATTACACCCAGCTGAGAAGAGAGGTGGGAAATGGAATTCCTACTCAAAGAAAAGGCAACAAAAATACAGGCAAAGATTTTGCCAGCAGGAAAAATATTTTGGGGGGAAATACGCTTGGAAGAGCTTCATATATGAGTATCCTTCAAGGGGGTGCACATACTATCAGGGAAATGTTCCTTCCTTTAGTTTTGAGGTGAGGTAAGATAGAACAAAAAGAAACAAGTAGGGGACTTGTGGCTGAACAGGCATATTGGGAAGGCTAAGCAAGCTTATGCCTCTCAATAGCTTTAACAGCCTAAGCACAATGGATAGGTTGATTGTGATGAAGAGAAGAGTCTAGAATCACAATCAGGGGGCCAAGGTGGTCACCCTATGAGAGATGCTACTTGGTGCTGACAGAGAAATCCACAACTTCCTTGGAGGGCTCCTTTATGTTATACTTAATTGGGGAAAGTTAAATGTTTGCCCCTGCACTGCAGTTACCCTTACATGTAACGGATTGGGAAACTGAGCTAAATTCACAGGAATCAAAGTTAAAGCACAGGTCTCTGACTCCCAGAACATAGGGTAGCTGTCTTCAAGGACTGCTTCAGTTATATTTTATTCTTTGAATTCAGTTATTGGTTGAAGTTGTTTAGTTTAGGTCATGAGAGCATTTTAAAAAATCTGCATGCCTGCTATCCGCATTTTGGGGTAGGCTGGGAATTTCAGAGGACTCCAAAGGATTCTGCATTGTCTCAGAACTTGAACTCCTCTGGGGTTCCATGCCTTGGTGCCACCCAGAACAACTAGGGGACCATTTATGGTGTGGCTACTGGACATTTACATGTAAATATGTATGTGTGTGTATTAGATATATATATACACACATACATATATGTAACACATATATACATATGCACATATCTATATATCTATGTATCTATATAGATCACACACACACACACACACACACACACAGTATTTATAAAGCAGATGCATGAATGGGGTAGGGGAGAGAAAGAGAAAAAAATTGACCCTAGGGCTGGCCACTTGTTTGTTCCCTCCTTTACTTTCCACTGCTTTACACTTGCTCTCATACATAGTCACACACCACACACCTATGTAAGATCCACACATCTCTGCTGCAGGCCAGTCCTGAGCGAAGCTTATCAGCCTCTGTTACCAGTGTAGCATTGAGGAACTGGTTCCAGGCAAATTCCCACTCTTCTTCTCCACCTCTGGCAATGGCATTGCAGTAAATGGTAGATCTCAGATTAGGGTGGATCCTAGAACAAAAAAATAGAAAGTTAAGAAGCTGACAAATGATGGGATTTAGCAAAGTAAGGAAGTGTGAGGTTCTTTTCAAGCTCCTAGACTCTTGGGGATAACACCACTTCTGAGACAGCTAGACACATCCATTCCTAGACATAGAGTAAGACATGATGTCCAGTCCTGACTTGGGCTCTTCAAAGCTATTTGACCTCTCTTGGTCTTTCTTCTCATCTATAAAATTAAGGGATTTATAAATTCCCAAAGTAGGTGATATCACCCCACGGTGGGGGGGGGGCGCTCTGGAAGATCCAGGTAGGTGGTAGTAGCCTCAGGTGCAACTGGGTGGGTGGAGGGCCATTGAATAAAAATAAGGGGGTGGTAGAAGCATAAGTAAATAAGAAAGTTTTGAAAAACCATTTGTACATGTTTCATCTGTTGTGCAACAGAGTTAAAAGTTGCAGTGATTACATTACTTTCCAAATAAACCCACAAATTACAAGTTATAACTGATCAAGTCTTAACAAGCAAGTGTTGGCAGGCTAGTGTGAATATATGCATGTGATGACTTGTTTACAATATGGTATCTTTCCCCTTCCTACCACCACCCTTCCCACCCCAGCTACTATTTAACATAAAGCCATAACCCAGGAGGGTTACTTACGGATTGTTTGAGGGGTTATTCCTCCACTGGTTGAAGAGTTTTGAGGCCAGGTCCCCACATTCATCCACACCATTAGAGCAGGCTGTGCTAATAGCATTGATCTCATTGTATCTACCCAAGGAAGAAAACGCAATCAGGGTATAGGTAGGCAAATGGGAAGTTGAGAGGGGATTGGGGAAAGTCCCTCTCTTGTGAACACAAAGGATCTTGTCTCAGAGCAACCCTTCCTACCTTTGTAAAGGAGGCTAGGGAAGCATGCGGTGCAATCACCCCTGGAATTTGTACTTCTCTCTAGCACCGAGTTCTTTGAATAAAAGCAATTAAAACTCTACTAAGTAGTTATCTCCTCTGCAGCACAGACTAACTCAGCAGCCAATCGGGAAGCCATCCTCAGTGGTAACTAAATTACTTCCTCCCAGTTCATAAAAGACTTTTTTCCCTATGATAGCAGCTATTAGATAATTGGAGATCATACTATTTACTAGAACAATTACCTCAGCTGGTATACACACGCACACACACACACACACACACGCACACACATATATGTTTTTTTTGGTTAGGTAACTAAAATAGAAATCTGTCCCTGCTGGCTGCCAAGTTGACTTAGAAAGCCACAAATTAACATTATCTAAGTTTGATTGTAGTTTTATTTTCCATTTATTTATATATTCATATATAAATTTGTATATTATTTTTATATACATATTTTAAACATTTCCCAATTCCATTTTAATCTGGCTCAGGCCCCACTTGGCTGTATGCAAGTTTGATACCCTTGGGGATAAAGAAGTTAATCATCTTGCCTAAGATCCCAACGGCCTACTGCATGTATCAGAAGTGAGACTTGAACCCAGGTCTTCCTGGATTCGAGGCCAGCCCTCTAGCCACTGATAAATCGTCTCTTATCTGGTATGTTGTATGTGTGCAAATGTTTACTGATTGAATGAGATCCAGTAGAGAGACCTGTTTTAAAGGATGAAGACCGTGTCTTTGGGGTATCTATCTCTCTGGCCCAACTCCAGCACAGTTGAGGGCAACAAAAGACATGTTTCAAGAAAGTGTCTGAAAACAAAGATTATGGGCCCTGAGGCAGGTCCTCTAATTTGTGACCTAGCACTCCTCCCTGCAGCCTCATGTCTATACTCACTGTTCCGTCAGGGTGGGAGGACGGCCAGTCCAATCATTGGTGATATTTTTAAAATGATCAAATAATGGAGTAACCAGTTTCTTCAGATAGTTCTATTGGAAAGAAGAAGACTTCAAGTTTTTTGTTTTGCACCCATTCCAGATTAATCTTGCTGATTCTAAACAGCATAATTTAACAAGCACCTAGAAGACATTTAGACTTCCACGTCTATCTTTTCTTTCTTTTTTTTGGCTAGGCAATGGGATTAAGTGACTTGCCCAGGGTCACACAGCTGGTAAATGTAAAATGTCTCAGGTCAAATTTGAACTCAGGTGCTCCTGACTCCAGGACCAGCGATCTATCCACTGCGCCACCTAGCTGCCCCTCTGTCTCTCCTTTATTGAACCCCCTAGACCCTTCCCTCTTCTAAGAACCTCAGACCTAGAACTGTAACTAGGGAGGGGCAGCTGAGATTTTGCTCTTGGGCACCAAAATATAGAGTATGCTAGGAGCTTTTACATTCCTCCATTACTGAGCTTTTAGCACCTAATTAGTTTGGTTTATTTTGGCTGGACTTTGGGGAGTTCCCAGTATGGAAACTCCCTCCCAACTCTGCAGATCAGAAATCTGCACACCATCTTTAATTTATAATTTTAGGGAGATGCTTATAGGACACTGATATATTAATTAACCCTGTCTAAGATCACACAGCTAGTATGTACTAGATGTTCCTAACCCCAAGGCTGGGGTTTAACACCACACTTCCTCTCACTAAGTAAGAATTACTACTTAAAATAGAAAGTTACCAGATGGCTTCCTATTTGAAGTGAGATACTGCCTAGCTCATGTACACCCTATTTCCCACTTTTCCTCTCTAGTCTACAAGGCACCACCTCCCCAGCAGTGGCCTTACATCATTCCAGGTTTTCCCTCTGTGGGTTCCTGAGGTCTCTCCCCTTTATTCCCACCTCAATTGAATGTGTCTTTACATGTTTATTTAAGAATACCCTTAATGCCATGAACATAATTGTGAAGTTTGTCCCAGATGTCATTTTGCTAGTTATTCTCTGCTCATCCCCAAAGACCATAGTGGTCCATAGATGCTCCCTCTCTGAATACACACAAGGAAAGAAATACATATTCTACTTTAGTACTCTGAGTCAAAATTTCTCTTAGCCCACGTGCAACAAAGAATTCAGAAGTTCTTTAGGCCTAGAGAAGAACTACTAATTTTTGCTTTGTTTTGTTTTGGGTTAAGTGACTTGCCCAAGGTCACACGGCTAGTTTAGTGTTAAGTGTCAAGTGTCTGAGGCCGGATTTGAACTCAGGTCCTTCTGACTCCAAGGCCACAGCTTTATCTACTACACCACCTAGCTGCCCCCAAAACTACAAAATTTGCAAATATTGTCTCCCTAATGACAGAATTTCAGGCACTGCGGGTGGGTGCTCTTATGAACTCAGGACCTTCCCTACTACCCTTAAAATTCATACCATATAGAGGCAGACATTTGCTCTCTGTACAGCCTACCCCAGCTCAGGTCCACCATAACGAGGTCTCAACCTAGATCTTCAACTCTTCTTACCTTCATGGGGCCGTACACTTCTGATCGATCAAACATGAGCTGAAAGTAGCTAAGGCTGCTGAGGGCAGCCTGCCAGGGCATGTATTCCACTTCCTTTTCCAAAAAGAGTGTGTTTTCCAGAGCCAGGGTTGTTGGGACATATTTGGCCCTGAGCATAAAACATAGGACCTCAGTGCTTCCAGGCCCAAGTGAAAAGTTCCCCTCTTCACCCCTAGCTATGCCTTCAAGGTTTCAAGCCAAGAGTTTTCTTTACTCTCCCTTTCCTAACTCACTTCTATATAGGAATTTAAGGTTTATAAAGCATTTCCCCCCCACATAAGCCTGTCAGGAAAACAAGGCAAATGTTATCTCCATTTTACAAAAGAAGAAATTGAGCATTAAAGAGGTGAAATGCCTTGCCATTGTCATACAGAAAGTGTCAGAGCTGAGATCCAAACCTAGGTCTTCTGACTCTGGGTCTCTTTCTGCTCCAGAGATAGCCAGGCCATGGAGTTTGCCCCAGAATCACAGATATGTTGGTTTCAAAAGGACCTTAAAGATCATCAACTTGTACCCTCTCATTTTACAGGAGAAAACTAAGGAACAGAGGGATTTTAAGTGACTTACCCCCAAATCTCTTTGATTAGTTAGTGGGAAAATCAAGACTAGAATTTAGGCTTTTTGTCTCCTAATCCAAGGTTCTTTCTCTCTATCCTTGCTTCCTGTTCCCCTATTCCTATTCCCCTATGACCCATTGGACTGTACCGTACTGGATAGAGTAAATGCTTACCTGGCTAGGTTAAAGCCATCGTGGATGATCTGAGCCCTGTTAATGACTGGAATGCTCTAAAGGGAGGGAAATAAAATATCATCAGGGTTTACGTGTGAATTTGAGTACCAAGAAAGTTTAGGGCATGAAAGACCCTGTCAACATTTTCCTGAGTTTTTCCTAAATTTACCTAAATTTATAGGCAGGATTCCAGGGCATGGGTTATAAGTTCTCTCAGAAACATAAATCCATTGGTTTCTCAGAGTAGAGGTAGGAGCCAAGGGTTTCAAACACTTACAGCAGGATTAGTTTGTAGCTCATTCTGAAGTTGCTTCCAATTTCTATCATCATAGTTCACCAGGTAATAACCAGTCATGTTGATGTTCAAGAGTATCCAATCACTATCATTTGTTACTTTAAGCTGGTCAAAAATAGCTGCAGAGAAAGAGATGTGTTGGGAGGTGCAAGAAAGAGATATCTTGGGAGACTGGCATGAGAATTTCACTTGATAAAGTTTCGGCTCTGATCTTCAGTGTAACCTGCAACCCCATCTCAGACATGCCATATATACATATATACATACATATACATACAACCTGCCCCCATACTTACCCAGAATGGGTAGGTTCTTAAGCATGCTGAGAGTCCAAGACATAGCATCTCCAAGACCATGTTGCCCATGGATGGGGCAATGAGACAGTAAAGAGAACCAAAGTCCTGACTTCTGGGACAGATGTTAGCTTAGTGTAGACAACCACTACCTTCTGGTCCTATTTCTATCATTAACTAGCTATGTGACTTTAGTGTCTTTGGATTTTGATTTCTTCTTCTGTAGAGGCTGGATAATACTTGTACCACCTACCTTACAGGCCTGGTATGAAGATGACATGAAATAACGGGTATGAGAGCACTTTGGAACCATGCAGTTCTCTACAAATGTTAGGAATTATCATCTTAATCTAAAATCTGCTTGTAAATGGCTGGAGGAAAATGGACTTCTACAATCCATAGAATCATAAGGTTTTCACTCAAGAAATTGGAGGAGTTGAGATGGAGGAAAGGCCTTTGCTAGGCTAAAGTATAAATACCCAAAGGGGACCTGGGAACAAAGATGGAGAAAATGCCCTCCCCATCCAACCCGGAGCAAAGCAGGAATACCTGACTGATTTCCATTAAGCCATCCAGAATAACTTTCTCCTCTACTTTTAACTGCAGAGACAGGCGCTATCCACAGGTAGCTGTAACAAGAAAGACAGGTAGATCCTCCGTGTGAACACAAGGAGTGTTCATTCCCTCATTCCAGAGAAAGTTAGCACATCCCAGAGCAATTAGCACAGGCATCAAAGCTCCAACAATTCTCAACATAGCCCCACCCTGGAGGGAAAGTTTCTTAAGGTACCACCTTGACTGGTGGGCTTGAAGGGAGATGTTCTCCTGGGCTATGGGTACCACTTCTTCCCTGGGCAGTGGCCAGGGACAGTATGGACAAGAAGCTGCCAGAGTCAGTGATACTTTCATTTAACCTCAATAGATATTGGGGACAGATGGATTCTAGTAGAATCATCTCCAGGAAGGTCAGAGAGAGGGTTAAGGACTTCATTTCTTGGGACCATTTAAACATAAGCCAGAGAAAATTCCATGGAATATCTTTCAGAGAGGGGAAGAATTATGATTAATGAGGTCTTTCCCACTTCCACTGTCCTACCAATTCCAACCTAGATTCACCCTCCACTCACTTAAATTGGGAGGGACGAGTGACATTGGAGGTGGGGTCTAGCAGGAAGTGTTGCTGAGAGAGAACACCAGTGGTCGTGTCCAGTTTCAGAACAGGAAAGCCCATCTGGAGGATCCACCGATCCATGATGTTTTGTACAGAAGCAGGCAATTTCACAGCAGTCTGTCCATCCACAGCCTATATGGAAATGAAAATTAAGTGAGGGAAAAGTGCTTTCAGATTTGAGGCATCAGATGATTCTACTTCCCAGAGAAAATTCCATTGTGACCCCAGTATTGACTGAGATCTCTTCCCTTCCTTGGTTCCACCCTGGTCCTCTTTAAATTCCAAACCATCTCTAGCCTGAATGGAGAAAGGAAGCCACAGCCTGTCACAAAAGAGTAGATTGCCCCTGCTAAGGGTCTCTTAGCCCCTGAAGTTTCTTGGCCTCTATATCTATAACATCTCTGCTTGTCCAACAGAAAATACAATTTTGAGGCTAACCCACGCCTATCCCAAAGTATTCTGTGAGCAAAGTGCACTAGAATGTTAATGAATTAAATAGATTCAGAAGACTGGATTTCTTCAGATCCCCTAGGGCAATACTTTTTAAAACTGTGGGTTGAAATCTCATATGGGGTCATGTAACTGAATGTGGGGGTCATGAAAAATTAGGCAACAGTAAAAGGTTTCTGAATGTGTAATGACCAAAAAATTTATTCAAAATCAAATGCATAATGAATCCGAGGTGTTTCTGGCAGCGCTTGCCCATGTTGCATCACACAGTTTCACTGCAGCCTTGGTTCTGACCACAAAACATGTGCACTTGGTACTGCACATGCCATCATGCCATGCATCACCAACAAACGCTGCCAAAAACACCTTGGCTCAGATCTGAGACTATTGTGTTACAAATTGCAGTGTTTTTACCGTACATACAAAATCGCTAAATGAATTTTGGCTTGGGATTAGGAACAGATTTTCCAACAATTCCTGAAACAGCCTTAAACGTACTTGTCATTTTATACTACGTATTTATGTGAAGCAGCATTCTCAGTGTTAAAGATTATAAAATCAAAATATTGATCATCTTTGAAAAACGTTGAAAACATTGAAGATGCACTATGTCCAGCAGTATCAAATATTCCACAAGATTTAATTATTTGTGTAAAAATGAACAAACACATCCATCTCATCAATATGCAAATTTGCTTTTGTCTTTAATAAATGGTAAAATCATATGTATGCCAAGGAATTGTCTTAAATAAATTTTCTTGTTTGTTTTGTATACCTATATACCCAAAGGTTGTGTAAAAATTTCTTGGGTGAAAAAAGGGTAAGTGGAAAAAGTTTAAGAAGCCCTGTCCTAGAGGAACAGATACAGTGTAGCATAGTGACAAGAGCATGACATCTGGAGTCAGAACAGTTGAGTCCAAACATTCTGACCCCATTTGTTGCTTATGTCACCAATGACAAGTCACTTAACCTTTCTGAGCCTCTCTTTGCTCATCTGAAAAATGAAGGGGTTGAACAAGATGAGCTCTAGGGTGCCTCCCAGTTCCTAATAAAGTCTTTCTGAACCTCTTTAATGCCAGTGTCTTTTCTTTATTAATTTTCTCCAATTTATCCTGTATATGGCTTGCATATGTGTCATTTCTCCTCTTAAAATGTGAGCTCCTTGAGAGCAGGATCTGTCTTTTGTCTTTTTGGGTCCCCAGTGCTTAGCACTGATTCTTAGGAAATGTCTATCAATTAGCTAAATTATAATATCCAATGATCCTAAGTGATGAAAGTGTGGGCCCATAGAAGTCTGCAGGACAGAGCTATTTCTACTTCTCTCACTATCTTGCTCATGGACCCTCACTCCCCCTCTCCCACAAAACACGCTAAGTGCTTTTACAGAGGCAAACAAAGTAGAATATCTATGACCAATGCCTCTTCTACAACAAGCTGCCATCTACCCCCATACTCATAGACACATAGAATAAGTGGACTCCTGGGCATGCTGAGAATCTTTAACTTAGCACTTAGTACTGCCTGTAGGGGAGTCAGAGAGCAGCATGGAGGCCTGATAGCCTAGCCTTTGGGGCAGGCTTTTGAAAAAAAGCTGGGTACAATGGATACATCACAGAACTGGAAGTCAGAGACACCAGAGTCTTAGGGCTGGCCCTGCTGATGACTAGCCAGGTGACCTGGAACAAGACCTTTCATTTTTGTGAATCTCAATGTCCTTTGAAATGAGGGAGTGGACTAAAAAAAAAAAACTAAACTTTCTGTAAGAGCCCTTACAGCTCAGTGATTCTGAGCAAAGCAAATTGTATGGCGCTTCTACTTGGGGATATAAACTTTCTCACAAGAAGGACACAGGCTATTTACTCACTTGTTGAAGGTGATCCCATAGATCCTGGTAGACTGTATTATTGTAAGAAAAGGCATGCAGGTAGGACTGTGGAGAGACAATAAGTTAGATGCAACGGCAAAACTCAGATTTAGTCAGAGGATTTGGGTTGAGGTCAAGTTAGTCACTTAATCTCTCTAGACCTCAGTTTGCTCAACTATAAAATGAAGGAGTTAGACTAGATAACCTCTTCTGTGTCTCCTAGCTCTGGATTTCTGATCCCAGGAAGGCAAGGGCCTTAGGTTTGAGAGAAAAATTCCCTACCACCAAGCTTCCTCCAAGTCCCAAAGTTTCCCAATCTATCCTAAATTGTACTATTGGCCAAGGCTTCTGTAACTGAAGGCCTCAGAACAGTGAGACCTGAGGAGTTCCCAAAGGAAGGTCAAATCAGGACTTTATGCAGTCTTTCCCTTTCATCCTTCTTGCCTGCCAAGGGAGGGTTATAGATAAGTACTCACTGACAAGCCTGTTTTGAAGAGGTCTTCTGTAAGGAAACTGGACAACATCCGAAGAACTGAGGCTCCCTGGGGAAGATGAAAGATGGGCCCTCAAAAATGCAGTTAAGGAGAGGAAATTTTGAAGGAGCTTTAATGCCAAGGAAGTCAATGGGCAGGCAATCTGGGTCTAAGGATCCAGGTAAGGGCTCTCCAGCACTAAGGAGCTCCTAAGGAAGGGGGCAAGGCAGACATAGGACATGCCTAGAGCTATCTGAGCCCTTTGGGGCTGGCTCAGACTCATGCTGAGAAAAGATAGTTTCTGAGAGGCAGCATGACCTCCTTTTTGGTTCTAGATCTATGATTGATCGTGGGACTGCAGAGGGCCTGAGCTCAAAGTCTATCTCTAATATGTATTAGTCATGTGACCTTGGGCAATTCACTGAATGACTCTAGCCCTCAGTTTTCTCTTATCTGTCAAATGAAGGGATTGGCCTAGATAATATTTAAGATCTATTAAAGTACTCCATTTTATACTCCTATGAGACATAGATTCCAAAAAATTCCTTTGGGTGACTCAGTGAAGGATCCATATAGGTATGATGAAAGTGTCAAAATAACTCCATCTCCGCCTTCCAATCAGATTAGGCTGGTGCTGCGCACTTCCAGCCAAGATGCCTTACCTTGCTGTAGGTGATAGAATCAAAGAGCTCGCTGATCTGGGCTGGGGTGTTGATTTCATCTTCAGGGGTGGACAGTGGATGGGAAGAGACCAGGGCATCAACAGCCATCACTCGGTGCACGTCATTCAGCACTATGAGGTCTTTCTGCAAAGCCAGAATGAGTCCCAACCTCAATCCTTTAGAGCTGACCCAGAGGACAACAGAGTCCCTGCCTAGTGCCCTTCTCAATCCCACACCCTTCATAAATTCATTGACTAGTTCTGGACCTCTCAGATGTTTCCTAAAGCACAGTTCTGACCAAGTGACTCCTCTGCTCTGGAAGCTGGAGCCAGTTACATCTAAGGAGAAAATACAAACTCCACTGTTTGGCATTTAAAGTCCTTCACAATCTGGGTCTGAGAAAAATTAAGATTATATTATATTATTATGCTATATTAATAACTAATTATTAATACGTGATCCACCCTTTTTCTCTTCTGTTAAGGCCCAAGTCAGTCTCTGAAGGGCATGGCTGAGTGATGAGATTGCTACTAGCCCTCAAGGCATATGTTAGTTTGTCGTTTAATTAAATTGGGGTGGGACCCCACCTAAGTGGGAGACCTAATTTCTGTCTAAACAAAATCCAGTCTGAGTGAGTCTTTGTCCATAGGAAGACCCCCCTGTCCTTAGAGTTTAGGGTGACCCAGCTTATGAAGAAGAAAACTAGCCAGAGAGGTCCAAATGGAGTTGACTTTCCCTTTCCCAGATTGCTAGAGACTGCTGAGTCTCAGATCAAGCCAAGTTCTCAGCAGGAGGAGCTGAAGACTTTTAGCTCACCTCCTCATTAAATATCCACCAATCAAGGTTGATTTTCATTTTTCAGGGGAGTTACAAGTTGTTGCAGCCCACTCCCATACCCCACCTCCCCCACTATGTTATATTACCATGTATTTACTTTGTTTATACAGTTACCCCTTCCACATCACAGAGGTTAGGGGAGCAGCAAGCCCCTGTGATCTGGAAAATCTGGGTATAATTTTTCAGCCCTCCCTTTGTATCAGAGAAGAAGTCTGAATTTTTTTTTCTTTTATGGGGCGTATACAGTATTGTAAAATTTAAGTTAAGTATCTGGTCCTAGGCTCTGTGTCATCTTCTGGCCTTTGCATGTTGTTTGCAGCTCCCCAAAAATTCCCGTTTAATTTCTTATGCCAACCCATGATGTATCGAAACCACGATGGGGAAAGTCGTGATATGGAAGGGACAACTATTCTATTTGTATCTGCCCCCACGTTTTCTCCCTTCTCTCCATCCCACTCAGCAGAATGTAAGTTCTTTGAAGGAAGACTCTTTGTTTACTTTCTACCAATTCCCACCCCCCCCCCCCCAGTGCCTAACACAAATTAGGTGATCTTTTGCTTAATAAATGCTTATTGAATCTAATTGGATTGAATTCTTAGGGTAGGAGATTCAGCTGCCCTTTTGACTTTGGCCTTTAGAGGGACAGAGCCAGCCTATGGCACAGGAGAATTTTAACATACAACGTCCACTCACCAAGTTCCAGGAAGGCTCAGCAAAGTCAGCCCCCAGGTACTCCACGTAGGAAGCAAAGCCTTCATTCAGCCACAGGTCATTCCACCATTTCACAGTGACCAGGTTGCCAAACCACTTAAGGAGTAAAAAATATTTAGGGATCTGTGATCTCTATCCTCTGGACCCCTTCACCGGCCAGACCTGGATTCAAATCCTGGCTCTGCCACTTACCAACTGCAGGAATGCAAATCACATTTCTTCTATGGTCCTCAACTTATTTATATATAAAATAAATGGAGTAGATTATTTTAAAGGTTCTTTCTAGTTCTAAGTCTTCTGCACCTACAATCACAGCTGTCTTTTCCCGTGGCCCAAGCGGACATAAATTCGTGTACATACACCCAACACAGGAATAGTCAAATCAAGTGGGTGTCAAAGATAAATAGGGGTTGTGGTGGAGTGTGGTACCTGGTGGGCAAGTTCATGGGCAATCACTGTAACCACTCGCTCCTTGTTGCTAATGGAGGAGGATAACTCATCAAATAGCAGTGAATTCTCCCGGTAGGTCACGAGGCCCCAGTTCTCCATGGCTCCAGCATTGAAGTCTGGCAGGCCTATCTGATCTGAAAAAGAAAGAGGCCCACTGGGCTAAGCTGCACGCCCCTCTTCCCCCCATATCCTAGTGCATGGCGTGACTCTGGCCCCCGGAAAGCATTCACTGCTGCATACCTGACCCTACTCACCAGACTTGGGCAATGGATAGGATGTGTTGTAATGATTTGCAAAAAATGTAAGGATGGGGCCTGTGACGTTCAAGGCATATTGTCCATGTCCTGCCTCGATTGCTTTGGGACGGGCCCAGATTCGGATCTGTAAAGGAATAGATGCAGCTAAAGAGTGAAAAACAAGGCAACTCAGACCATAACCAGAACCAGGAGAGTGGGAGAGGGTCAGAGTCCTGGATTGGGGAGTAACATCCTAGCACTAGCATCTTTTACTAAGACATTTACGCTGTTTTCAGCCAAAAGGAGCCTGGGTGAGTAAAGGTCAGGAGGGTGGTGGAAGAGAGCTCTGGCCCAGAGAAGAGAAGGCTTTGAAAGCCTGAGGGGACGAGGCAACAGAGCGGCAGAAAGAGAAACAAGTGGGTTAGGGGAGAGGGGGAGCAGATAAGTGGGAGAGGTCTGGGGTGCTGGGAAGAAGGACATGAAGCCTAGGTTTGACAGGGGCACCAAATGACCAAGATTCTGGGATCTTATGTTGGCATAGTCCTCTTCCCTGTCTCTGCTCTTTCCCAGCAGCCTCTTGTCTTATGTTCTGAGCTTGCAGGGGGCGTGTGAGATGAAGTCATGAGTATTGGGCTGGAAATGAGCAGACTTGGGTTCTAGTCCAGATCTCTTACTGTGTGACCTTAAATGCATTACTTAGCTCTTCTGGACCTCACCTAGACTAAGAAACTTCCAAAATTCTTTTGAGGTCTTTGTCTCTATGAAGCACAAAGACCTTGCCTGTTCTATGTCCCTTCATACTCTCTGATCCATTAGGGAAGATGCCAGGGCAGGGAGCTGGGGCGGAGGTGGAGGTGGAGGTGGGTAAGGGCAAGGGGAGACAGGGAGGCCAAAGGCAGCATTCTGAACATGCAAGAAGGGTTTGATTCAGAAAGTTGCCCTGGCCCTGGCCTTGAATTTTATACCTGTTTATCATTTTCCTCTTTCTCCACTGCTTCAAACTGGCAAACGATATAAGCCAAAAGATAAGTGGACATCCTTGGGGTGGTTTGAAACTGAGTGATGGTCCAGTTATCACCTTGTTTAACAGAAGCTAGACACAAATGAGAAGAGGGTAAATAAAATAGCAGCCTGTCTGTCTCTGCCCCAACTATCTCCCTATTACCTCCAGAATACCTCACCCATTCTTGAGGATTATCACTGGCCCAGAACCTGTAACTAGCATAGGGACAATGGAACTTTGCCCCAAGTGAACACCGACCTTGCATCTCCTGCTAGAGCAGCAACATAGCCAACCCCCTCCCAGGATACCACTGTTGAAACTCTCCTCTCCCCAGCCCTTTGCCTTCCCCAAACCCCTTGGGGGCAAGAGCCAGGTTGTCCACATCTTTTGGCACAACTTCACCTGTAGTCAGACCGTCTTCTGGAACAATCATGTCCCTAGCCCCACTGCCTCCTCAGCAAACTTTGAGCTCCAGGTGGAAGTTTTAGCATTCTGGTACTAGTTATCCCCAATTGACCTTTGTCTGAAGAGGTCCAGGGGCCCAACTACATAGGGCTTTAGTCAGGGCCAATTGCCAGTGATGAGTCCGTGAGCAATTTGCTTCCTGAATGGAAGAGAGAGGAGAGCAAACCCCATCTTGGAATACTTACATTTGGGAGGCATGTTGGAGATGGCTTTATGGTCAGAGGGGTGGATCAGTGCGATGTCAAAGGTAGCCTTCATGTCTGGCTCATCGAAGCATGGGAAGGATTTACGGGCATCAGCTGCTTGCATCTGTGTCGTGGCCAACACCCTGAGTGAGCACAGATTGGAGTTATTAACCCTCCATGGTGGCAGATACACCCAAATGCCTTGGCTAGAGAATTCATCATCAAATGGGAAGTCTACTGAGGATGAACTTAACTATCCATTAATCAATCAGTAAACATGTATTAAATAAATACCTACTATGTGCCAGGCACTGTACCTAGCTAGGCAGGTACTCCAATCTATTGCCCAGACCTTTCTACAGTGGAAAATCGACCAGAGCTTATACACTCCCCTCTGGTATAGGATTTGGGAATTCAGGGTAGCTCTGAACCATGAGGCAAAGTACCCAAAAATCACAAAAACTCATGTTTAAGGTTTTTCAAAGCACATTCCTCACAACAACCCTCTGAGCTGAGTAGTAGTAGCTCTTATAGGTCATAGGACTCCAAGGGAACTTAGAGGTCATCTAGTCCAAAACCCTCATTGAGAAACCCAAAATCCAGAGAGTGACTTGCCCAAGGTCACACAGATAATAAGTACCAGGGTCAGGATTTGAACCTAACACCTCTGACTCCACTCTTCCGATTGCACCACGCTGCATCTTGTTACTATGCTCTTTTTGTAGATAAGAGAAACTACAGCCTACAGCTAAACCTCAGACACCTGTGGGCTGCCCGAAACCAAGAGAGGGGGAATGTGGTGCAGTGGATAGAGTGCCAGGCCTGGAGTCAGGAAGACCTATCTTCCTGAGTTCAAATCTGGCCTCAGATACTAACTGTATGACCCTGGGCAAGTCACTTAACCCTGTTTGCCTCAGTTTTCTCACCTGTAAAATCAGTTGAAGAAGGAAATGGCAAACCACTCCAGTATCTTTGCCAAGAAAACTCCAAATGGGGTCATGAAGAATTGGACACAACCAAAAACAACTGAACATCAACCTTGGAACTATGCCTAAGAAACCTAGAGGCAGCTCAATGGATAGAGTCCTAGACTTGGAGTCAGGATAGACCTGAGTTTAAAGCCTACCTTGGAAACTTACATAGCTGTTACTCTAGGCAAGTCGTTGAACCTTTCTCAGCCTCAGTTTTCTTATCTATAAAATGGGGATAACCCCACATGGTTGCTGTGAGAATCAAATGAGATAACCTATGTGAAGCAGTTTGCAAACCTTAAAGGGCTGTATAAATCCTTGTCATTGCTATCATTATTAGAAATGTTTTTAAAAATGCCCTCCATATCACAGCAACCACAGAGAGGTCTCTTGTCTCAGTAGAGGAACTAACAAAGATATAGATTCTGGGGTCCCTGCAAAAAGGCACTGAGTTTAGGTACAACCCAACCCAGGGATGTGGACTGAAACTGGGTCAGGCTGGGAGAATGGGAGCACACATACAGTGTGTTTCAGCCTTCCCTACAATCCCTTTTTAAGGCCTCAGGGGCAAATGCTCAGTTTTAGATTCTCCATATGGTAGATGTGGATGGTGCTCAGGGTATTCAAACCAAATTAAGTCCCTGGGCTCAGAATCCTCGGGTCAACCTTTGAACTATCCCAGACTCACTATAGTCCTTCAGGGATACTACAAGGCTGATCCAGATTCCCATTCTCCCCAAGGCTGCCAAGGCCTGGAACAAACATCCAGAGCCCACCCCACTTAGAACCTTTTTTTGTAAGTGGTAGGCTAGATCCAAGGCTGCTTCTAAGGTGTAGTGGGATATGAGGCACGTAGGGCAGTAGGATGGCAAACACAAACTCATCTCATTTATTATTACTCCATATCTACCTTCCCACTTGTTTAGGACTATAGTCAGTCCCTTGGGATCAGGTTTTATTACAGATCATGAGAAACTCTTAGAGCAAATCTAAGACCTCCTAATAGTAATAATGATAATGCTTCATGGTTACATAAAGAACTGGCCTTGGGATAGGAACAACCTAAGCTCAAGCTCCACTTCTGAAAAATACCAGCTGTGGTAGACTTGGGAAAACCACTTAACATCTCAGCCACCCAGGCAACTCTAAGACTATAATTGCAGAACAGTACCTGATCTGCAATGGTGCAGAGCTTGCCATATCAATTAAATCATAAATTAAATCAATTTAATCTGGACCCACTCCCACCTCCACCTCACCCCCAAAATGACATAGCTTTTTACAGTTTACAAAGCCTTTCTTCACAATAAGGCAAATTTGATTATCTTCATTTCACAGTTGAGAAAACTGATTCTCAGAGATATTAAGAGATTTGACCATAGTCAACTAGCTAAGGAAATAGTAAAACCAAGGATTCAGGCTCAGATCTTCCATCTCTCAGCCCTGTGCTCATTCCCCAGCTTCACAATGACTTGCCATGATACACTAGCTTGTCAGACCCAAACCACAAAGGCTCATGGCTTCCAACAATAGGAAACACCATAGGGTCTTTTTCTCCTCTTCTCTAGGGGATCTTTTCCTACCATGACCAAGCCTTAAAGGGTAGGAGGTTCCTACTTGTACCCCATCCCTGGTCAACCTCCACTCCATTGTTGTGGTCTTTGCTCTTCAGAACCCAAACTCACAGTTCCTCTTCCTATAAAGAAAACCCATGGGGAGGAGGGGGGAGAGGAGAGATACCTCCACCAAAGTTGGGCCCCAGTTCTTACTTGTTTACTCCATCTTCGGTATACTCGCTGCGGTAAAAGCCAGCCAGGTCATCAGCCAGCTCTCCAACAAAGGTACTCTCCATCTCATAGTAATGGCCAACTACCAGTTTATTTTTCAAATGCACAACCAGATACTGGGTTGGTATCACCAGCTCAGTCCTATCAATTTGGGGGGGCTGGGAGTCATTTAGCCCCTTCAGACTCACATGGTGGCCATCCTTCATTGTATAGTTGAGTTTATTGCTGTGGATGATAATGACATCGGTTTGCTCTTTACAAAGGAAGCGAACAGTGCTCTCACCCCAAAAGATGTATAGGCCCCAGTCATCCTTGGTCAGATTCGGCCTCAGCTTCACAGTGTAATGGTCAGGAATCAGCGACTTTGGCAGCCGGTATCTGTTCCAGGCTATGCTTGGATCCAGGGTCGTGGGGGCCTGGGGGGCCGTGGGGGCCTGGGGGGCCGTGGTGGCCATGGTGGGAATTTGGCTGGTGGGGTTTTCTGGTCCCTGCACATTTTTATTCTTCTCCTCTGAGTATAGGACTGACAAGGCAATGACAGTGCATATAGCTGCTACAGCAAAAAGGATACCCACGATGCCCAGTGTCTTGGAGATGAAGAAGCCTTTGGCCATGGCGGCAGTGTGAGGGGGTGGGGGATGGAGATGAAGGGGGACTGGATATGGGAGAGCAGGGATCTGGGGGAAATTCTCAGAGGAGAGGTCTGTAGCACCTGTCCTGGGCTTTTATGTAGCAGGGTAAGGGGAGGCCCATGAACAGCTTTAGGAGGTAAAAATTAACCAGGCTGAGACAGGCGAAGGTCACGTTCAATGGTTCAGGTCCACACTTTCCCTCGGGCTCCAGAGAAGGGAGAAAGGCAAAGTGATTGGTCAACAGCACACAGGCCCTGCTGGGAGCAAAAAGGGTGTCAGGTTACAGTCTGCAAAAAGCACCCCAATGGGCAGTCTGGGTTTTGAAGCACAGCTAAGAGAATGCCACCGAGGCTGGGAGCCTGGCGTTAAAGGATCTCCAGGAGGAAACAGCTTTTGATTATAGCAAAAGAGATCTAGCTGAGGGACAAGGAAGAACTATCTGGTAGCAAGAGATACAAGTTAGAGTCAAAAAAAGAATGCGGGAATTAAGGGTGCAAAGGACCAGAAGGGCCATCTAGTTCCACCACCACCACCACAACCACCCCCACCCCCTTTACAAGTGAGGAAACTGAGGCCCAAAGAGATCGTCAATTGCCCAGGGTCACCCGTAGTCATTAGTAGAGCTGGAGGGTAAACCCAGCTTCCTCCCTCTGTATCTAGCTGTTTAGAGGGATTTGAAATCAGTTTACTGTCTCTGGCAGAGATTACCCTAGAAAGATAAATATCAACCTTTTCTCAAGTGGTGACGTGGTAGAAAGAGCACTGTGGTTGGAGTCAAAGGACCAGGAATTCAAATCCTGGTTCTGCTCCTTAGTACCCATGTGATAAGTTACTTTACCTCTCTGGGCCTCAGTCTCTTCATTTGTAAAAGAATAAGTCTTCTTAGACTAGAAGATCTCTAAGGTCCTCTCCTGCTCTTGATCCTATAACCTGGGTTCTGATTTTAGTGGAGATTCTGCGATTTCCTTTGGTGATAGATTCCTCACAAACCTGAAGCTCAAAAAGTTCTTATTATCTAACCTAAGTAGTTTCTGGAGACTTGTTTTAGTTGCAAGGGGGTGGGGGAGGAGCAGGCTGTGGCTCATTCTTTCTTGTCTTGTTATTGGTGGAAATGGAAAAATTTACATTAAAGATGACCATTGCTTTTCTCAGCCTTCCATTCCCCTGGAAAAATGATGTCAATTCTTTTGGCACAATGAGGGAAGGCATCTTTTTGGGGCCTTTAATTACTTTCTTTGCTGACCTCCTGATCTTCTTATAGCTTTCTAAATCTCCGTTGCCTTGAGGATTGTTAATAATAATGACAATTCACATTTTGTATGATGCTTTAAGGCTTACAAGCATATTACCACATGCTTTTGCTCACAACCCTGCAAGGTGTGTAGTTCCAAGCATCATCATCTTCATACCAGGTAGCATGTCTACATCACTTCAAAGCTGGCAAAGTGCTTTACAAATATTATCTCATTTTCTCTTCACAACAACCCTGAGTAAGGTACTATTTTTATAAACACTTTACAGATGGGAGAATGGAGGAAGAGAGAGGTTAAGTGATTTGCCCAGGGTCACACAGATATTTAAGTGTCTGAGACCAGATCTGAACTCAAGTCTTACTGAAGATGATCTCTTCAGGTACAAAGACAAATGAAATTTCCAAAAACCTATGGTGGTAGCAACTTCAGGTTGCCAGAGAACACCTTAGTGGAAACTAGTCTCGTAGGATTTAACACTGGAATAGACCATAGAGGTCAACTAGCCTAACCCCTTCTTTCAGTCCATACTGGTCTACTTGCTGTTCCTAGAACCTAACATTAGATCTTCCATCTCTGTGTCTTTGGACTGGCTGTCCCTCATGTCTCGAATGTTCGACTTTTTTATCATCCTTGACTTATTTTAAAACTCAGCTCAACAATTTGGAACTATGCCCAAAGGGCAATAAAAATGTGCATACCCTTTGACCCAGCAATAGCACTTCAAGGGCTGTATCCCAAAGAGATCATAAAAATGGGAAAAGGATCCACGTGTACAAAAATATTTATAGCAGCTTTTTTTATGGTGGCAAAGAATTGGAAATTGAGAGGATGGCCATCAATTGGGGAATAACTGAACAAGATGTGATATATGAATGTAATGGAATACTATTGTGCTATAAGAAATGATGAGCAAGGCAGACTTCAGAAAAACCTAGAAAGACTTGTAGGACTGATGCTGAGCGAAGTAAGCAGAACCAGGAGAACACTGCACAGTAATAGCCACGTTGTTCAATGACTAGTGTTGATAGACTTAGCCCTTCTCAGCAATGCAAGGATCTAAGACATCTCCAAAGGTCTCATGACAGAAAATGCTATCCACATGCACAGAAAGAACTATGGAGTTTGAATGCAGATCGAAGTATACTATTTTCTCTTTTTTTTTTCTTCTGTTTTGTTTTGTTTCCTCTTTCTGGTGGTTCTTCCTACTGGTTCTAATTCTTCCTTATAACATGATGAATTTGAAAATGTTTAATAGGAATGTATTAATTTAATAAGAATGTATTCTTAGAGCCTATATCAGATTGCATGCCATCTTGGGAAGGGAAGTGGGGAGGGAGGGAAAAATTAAAAACTCAAAAGCTTATGAAAGTGATTGTTGAAAACTAAAAATAAATTAATAAAAAAAAACACTCGGCTTAAATGACACCTTCTATAAGAGGCCTCAGGTCTCACAATGGATAGAGCACTGGGCCTGGAGTCAGGAAAACCTGAGTTCAAATCCACCCTTAGACAGTTACTGGCTGTGTGACCTCAGGCAAGTCACTGATCCCTGTTTGCCTCAACTATAAAATGAGCTGGAGAAGGAAATGGCAAACCACTCCAATATCTTTGCCAAGAAAACCCCACATGGGGTCATAAAGAGTCAGGATTGAACAACAACGGAGGCCTTTCCTAGTGACCCCAGCTGCTAATGCCTCCCCCTCTAAGGTTAACTTGTATCTATTCTGTATATACTACTTATTGACCTTTTGTGTCCCTCATTAGCATGTAAGCTCCTTGAGGGTAGGATTTGTCTCATCCCTACCACCTAGCTCTAGGCCTGGAACATTCTAAGTGCTTAATAAATAAATACTTGTTGATTAATTGATTTTACAGATAGGTAAAGGGGGGCCAAGGGGTGGTGAAAAGATTTCATCAAGGTCACAGAGATAGTAACTAGTAAAATTGGAATTTGGACATGTGACTCCAAAACTTTCCACTGCACCACAATTAGCTGAAGCCACCTAAGAGGAAGGCCCTATGGCAACAGGAAGGAGTCAGTCTTCTTTGGAGTTGCCCAGTGCAGTGAGTGATGGACAGTTATGCTTATGCCCTTGTCAAAAGGAGGGCAAATGCCCTAACTCCTCAAAATGGTAGCAGGCCTATTACTGAATGGTGCTCAGTGCTAGGGACAATACTTATTTTTAAAATATGTAATTTGAGAGTGTGAGTGGCAATGACAGTGGATAGACAGCTAGCCTCAGAGTCAGGAAGCCTGGACTTCTAGTCCCTCCTATGACACATTGGCTGGGTGGCCCTGGGCAAGGTCCAGAGTCAACTCTCTAAGACTCTGAGCTGTAGAGAAGGTGCCAATATGCATCAGGAGAGGGGACGTTCTTGTTACAAGTTCCCTATATGTTCTTAATGAAGTCACAGATTCAGCCCTCCCACCTAATCCCCCCAAAAAAGGGTGAGTGGAGGACCAGAATTATCTATTATCCCTAAAACAGTCAGGCGGGTTTATGATGGGTTTGAGAGGCAGTTTGGGATCAAGAAGAAAAGGAATTTACTGGACTAGGCTTTGGAAGGCCCAGTTCTTCCTCTAACTCACTGAGTCACAAGAACTCTGGCCCTCACTTGTAAAATGAGGTATTTGAACAAGAATGTCAATGAGCCCTCTATCTTGAAGAGCATATAGCCTTCCTCAAATTAGGAGCCAATCAGACATGTGCGAAAGTCAATAAGGAAAATAAACAGGAGAGACAGGGCCAGCTTCCTTGTTTGACATCAGGATTAGTCCACACTTGCCCTCACACAGACTTCCAGGAGTTGATTTTGGGGGGGAGGAGGGAGAATTTTAGCTTTCAGACCTACACACCTTTGGGTGGCATTTGAGCTGCCAGTCAGCCCTGTCCCTGGTAACTCTAAATCTCAGGACTTTTGTCTAAGGTTTTGCTTCTGAAATTCAGCTCCACCCACATCCCAAACCATGCTGGCGGGTACTCTCTTGAAACTCAGTGGCTGAAGTCTAGGAGTAGGACTTCTCAGGACATCCTCATTGTTGTCTGAACAGCAGAAAAGGCAGGAAAAGGTAAGATCTCAATGATCTGGTAGAGAAGGTCACTTGCCAGTGGCAAGAATGTTGACAGAGGGGAGTTCTTCTATGATCTGGGGGTGGGTGGGAGTAGTATGCCTCAAACTCTGCCACCTAGTGGGGTAACCTGAATGCCCTCACCTCTGCAGTTTAACAAAACCGCCCAATAGAAGTCAGTTGAGGTGGGCTCCCCTAGCCGTGGTCTGAGTCCTCCTGCTCTATCTCCTCTGCAGAGGGTCTCCCCTCTGCTTCTTGGGGGCAGCGTCCAACGCTTTGTCCAAGGCCAAGGAGGAGGGGAACGACTCACCGCCTATGGAAGGTAGGCACTTCTACATCAGTGCAACCAAAGAACAAGAGTTTGGGCCTAATGTGACCCTGACACCAGCAGAGCTGTCTAAGCTGCCGTGCTGGAGGGAGGTCCAGGAAGATGCAGTATCAACAGGACAGAGAGCAAAGGGCAGGGTGAGGGGGAAAAAAGGGCAAGAAACATACAAAGGTGGGCTGATGCATAAAGCAGGATGACGTCCATTTTCAGCAGTGTACTCTAGCCATCCAGCCATGGCAATCTTCACTCTCCAAAGGTTTCCAAGCTGTTGCTGGACAGATCTCCTTTTGCCACCAAAATACCAGTAGGTAGAGTAAAGAGGTTAGTAATAAAACTTAGGAATATAGGGGCAGCTAGGTGGTGCAGTGGATAGAGCACCGGCCCTGAAGTCAGGAGGACCTGAGTTCAAATACGACCTCAGACCAAGCACTTAACACTAGCTGTGTGACCCTGGGCAAGTCACTTAACCCCAATTGCCTAAAAAAAAAATAAATAAATAAATAAAACATGGGAATAATGACAATTCACATTGATAAGATGCTTTAAACACATCATCTCATTTGGTCCTCAAAATGATCCTGTGAGGTGGATACTACAGGTATTATGAGTTTCTCTTCTATAAGTGAAGAAAAAGGCCTAAAGAGCCTGGGCAAATGACTTGCCCAAAATCATACAACTACTGAACGTTAGGGAAAGGATTCGAACCCAGACTCCTTCTGACTTGAAGCCCAAGTACTCTTTTTTTGGGGGGGGAGGCAATGGGGGTTAAGTGACTTGCCCAAGGTCACACAGCTAGTAAGCATCAAGTGTTTGGTCTGAGGCCAGATTTGAACTCAGGTCCTCTTGACTTCAGGGCCGGTGCTCTATCCACTGCGCCACCTAGCTGCCCCCCAAGTACTCTTTCTGCTATACCCTTAAACTAATACATTGGGCTTAGAAGAATTGCACAAGGTCACGTAGGCAAGAAATGTCAGAGTTCAACTTGCAATTCTAGTATCTAGACCCCCAGCCTACCCCCAACCCAACCTCAGTTAGTGCTCCGTGCACTGTCATATATCCACTAACTCTGGATTCTATCAAGCCCACCTTTTTCATTTTACAGATGAGGAAACAGAGGCTGAGGAAGAATTAGTGACTTGCCCAGGGTCACATAGTTACTACATGCCTGAAGCAAGACTTAAAACTCAGGTCTTTCAGCCTCCAAGTCCCATATTCTATCTATTACCCTGCCTTCAAATAGCTATAGTCTTTCCCCCAAGAATCAGGTCTAAACGGACTATCTTTTGGGCTTTGGGCATGTCTTCTAGAGGTCTGGCCAGCAGAAGTGATGCTGATTAGGTAGAAGTTGATGACGGTAGGGTTTGATAAACCCAGATACAGAGCACCAAATAGACCATCAGACCTCTAGTTCTTGCAGATGGGTGTGGCTACCTGAGGGGTAGAGAGACAGCTGACCTGGGAATGGGAAGCAGCTCAGTTATGGTTTCCCTACATTCTGCTCTAAAGTCTGAGTCAGGATGAGGCCCTGGGCCAGCCCAGCAGGGCACTTCCTATGGGAGCTTCAGAAAAACATGTTTGTACTGTGAGAACCGAGTGTCCCTCATCAGACAGCCAGCATCCAGCCCACTCCACCACAATTGAATAGGATGAAGGTCAGATGATTGGGGGTGGGGGGGTGGAGCTGGGGAGGAGGAAGGTTTTATGGGTCCAGTTCTACTGCTGATCCCAAGAAGTCCCAGGAACTGTCAAAAGGTCCTCCCCTAAGTACAGAAAAGAACTAGGCAGTGACTAGGTGCCCCAGACAAGGTTTGAAAATTGTTCTCTTATGGAAATGTTTTGCATGATTGCATGTGTATAATCTATATCAAATTGCTTGCCTTCTCAAGGAAGGGGGAAGGGGAGGAAGGAAGGAAAGGAGGGAGAGAATTTGGAACTCAAAATTTAAAAAAAAATAATAAAAACTTATTTACATGTAATTAAGAAAAAAAGAAAATAAATGAAAATTGTTTCCTGCATCCCACCATACCCACCAATTCTCTGAGCCTTCACTATAATATTGACTTCTTTTTTAAATTAAGGCCTGAACTTATTGTTTCAACTGCACAGTGATCTCCTAAAGTAAAGATTCCTTTCACTTATATAGATTCCAAGTCTGGACCAAGAATTGACTTAATTCATAAACATCTATGCACCACATAGGACAGAACTTCTTGGTATAAAAAATAAATCGCCTATGCCAAGAATGTTCTTCCTTATCTGTGCCTTTTAGAACCCTTTTTTCTATTCAAAGCCCAGCTTGAACATGTCACTTCCTACAACCAACTTTTCCTAATTCTCTAGGGACTTAGAATCTGTGCCTTCCAAGTGCCTTTTTTTTATGCATTTGTCTATCTAGGCACATGTAGCCACTCAGTGGAATGCAAACTCCTGGAGAAAAGGGGCTGTTTTGTTTTTGTATCCTCAGCACCTAGGACAGTGCTTAATAAATGAGCAGTTCTCACTAAAAAGTGATCTTCATTGCAACTCCTACGCTAGGAGTAGATAGTGGTGTGGAGGATGGAGCACTGGGCCTGGATGGAGGAAGACCTGAATTCAGATATAGCCTGACATTTATCAACTGTGTGTCCTTGGGCAAGTCACATAACCTCTTTTTTCCCTCAATTTCCTCAACTGTAAAATGGGGATAATACTAGCACCCACCTCCCAGGGATATTGTGAGGATCCATGGATAACATTTATAAAACACCTAGCACATAGGCACTATGTAAATGCTATAGTTATTATTTTTATTATGTCCTAGTCGGTGGCCTATCCTTAATCCCTTATGTTGCCAGGGAACTACAACCCAGCTTCCCTAAGCCAAAGATTTTTTTTTCATCTCTTGATCTGCAATGAACATTAGAACGATAAAGAAGATTTGTACAGCTGAATTTCAGGGGTAAGCAGAAGCAAGTAGATTAGGGGGAAAAGGCAAGGACCTTGGTGCTTCTGATAAGGTAACTACAGCAATGGACTAGTTTATTAAAGGGGTGGAGCAAGAGGCTGGAGGCAACACTAGCTGCTGGTTAATATTCTTAGTCAGATCTTTATAGTTAGTTCTGTGGGGATAGAATAATTCAGCTCCTTATATATGGCAAACACTTAAATGTAAGCTGGATTGAGTTTAACTAGAGTGGAGAGAGATACCACCCAGAATAGAAACCTCTGGGTAAATGTAATGACAAACTACTTCCAATGGTGTCAGTTTCCAACTGGGACTGGCCAGAGACCAAGTTTCCAAGACTGTCTTTGAGGCCTTCCTTCTTTCCACCTTCCCTTTATACTACTCCTCAAATCACACTGAGGCTGACTCTACTCCTGTTTTTGCTACTGACATTTAAATGTCCTAATCTCCAGCTCCCATCTAAATTAAGCTTTATCCTCTACCCTATAGGGGCCCTCATCCCTCAAGTTGTTTCCTGTCCCTATAAACTTACATAAACCCCATTGCAGTCTCAGTCCCATACCACACAACAAACACACACACACACGTTCTTCCATTTTGTCCCTCATCTACTCATCTCCCTAGGAAAGATGTGTATAGTGCAAATAAATTTAGAGCTAGAAAGAACTCTAAAGGCCATCTTTTCCAGCCTCTTCATTTTACAGGTGAGAAAACTAAGATACAGAGAGGTTAAGGCTCAGCCAATGACACAGATTTGAATCCAAGTTTCCCAACTCCAAATCCAGGGCTCTGGCCACTATACCCTGGGTGCTAGTCCTGGCTCTGTCCCTAATTGACTAGATAGACTACAGGCAAATAATTTAACCTTTCAGGGACTTAGTTTCCTCACCTGGCACGTGGCATCTTGGATTCTATTTTCCCTTGCTCAACTCTTACAAAATGCTCCTACTCAACCATCCTTGGGATCCCACCCTAGAGTCAGTTGACCATTATTTCTTGCTCCAGCCTGCTTGCCAGCACCCCCAAACACCAAGATACTTTTTCTAAAGGGTCAGGGGCACCAGGCAGAGGGAGGAGGAGCCAGGACCCCAAAGAAGGGAGCGTTCCTTGGGAGCATGTCCAAATAAAGCAATCCAAAGCCAAAGGCTCCTACTCACCTTCCCGTCTCCAGCTGTGGTTGTTCACATCCATGTTTCCTCTTCCAGCTGTTGCTGCTGCTGTGGTCCCAGCACCTTGTCCTCCCCCCCTGAACTCACTCTTAGGTCTTCTGAGCCAGGCCAAGACCCAGCCCTCCCCTGCAAAGGAGTAGCTGACACCCACACTCACTAGACTCCTCCTATCCCCCAGCCCATCTCAATAGGAAACTTCTCCATGTTTTTAAGGGGAAGTAACCTGACCTTATGAACGGCCCTCTGGGTTAACCCTTTCCATGGCTACCAGGGCAAAACCAGAAGAGCAACCACAAGAAAATATACCTATAATCTGATGCTGCAGAAAAGAAATTCATGTCCCTGCCAGCAATAGTAGGGATCCTGGGTGGCACTGGGTGACCCACCAGAGAAAGGCATTCCTGCCGAGCCCAGCTACAAGCAGGCCTGGAGTGAAGAGTGGTGGAGAAGTAGGGGAATTAGCAGGACCCTCAGTGGAAACATGAAGAGTTCTTTGTTCCTTGGGTTGCTTCATTCCTGGCTATATATGCTGGTCTGCAAAACCCACCATCTGGCTGTAGTTCTACATCCCCTAGGTCCCAGGGACCTGGCTTAGGACCATGTTCCTCTCTGCTCCCCAGCAACAGCTGCTTACACATCTGGAAAGCATTTGTTTTTGGTTAAGGAGGCAGATTCTTGTCCTGTCCTTCAGATGCCAGGAATAAGCAGAAAAGCTTGGGACTGGAATTGCTTGACTCCTAAGGAGTAGGGTTGGGATTAGTTGTGGAGGTGCATCTAACCCCCCAGCTCAATCCCTGACTGGCAGAGGCTTCCTTTCCAGCTTGCAAAATCTCTTCATCACATGAACCCAGAGCTAAACTTGCCAGGATTATCAGAACCAAACTCTGCCCTGGATACCACGCCTAATCTCCGAAGCTTCCTCTTTTTCTTTTTTTACCTTTTACACTTAAGAGTTTTCCAGATAGCTAAAGTTTCTCCCTCTAGACAAAAGACTTTTTTATTTTTATTTTTGCCATTTCTGATGAGAATGTCCCTGGGCTGTAGTAACAGAAGCACTAGAATGGGAGTCAGAGAGCTTAGATTTGAATCTTGGCTCTTCTGCTTACAAACTGTGAACATGAACAAATCATTGAGTAAATCTGAGACTTAGTTTCTTCATTGGTAAAATGAGAGGATTTCACTAGATACCCTCCTAGGTTCTTTCCAGCTTTAACGTTCTGTGAGTATATATGAAACCTTTAAATGTATTACAAAAAGGAAGGGGGGAGCCTACACACAGGAATGGACAGAGATAATTTGGAAAGACACAGGAGGGCGGCTAGGGGGTGCAGTAGATAAGAGCACCAGCCCTGGAGTCAGAAGGAACTGAGTTCAAATGTAGCCTCAGGAGCTTACTAGCTGTGTAACCTGGGCAATTCACTTAACCCTGAAAGCCTCCCACATTTAGAAAAAGAAAAGAAAAAAGACAGGAATGATAATAACAACAACAATTATTGACATATAGTATTATGAAAGGCAGTGTTGGATAGTAGAAAAAGGGCTAGCCTATGCACTTCTTAAGAAGCTCTGGGTTCAAGTACTGATTGTGTGGCCGTGGGCAAGTCACAGCCCCTCGGTGATCTACACGGTTCTCTTAAGATTATAAATCACAGAGAGGGTACTGCCTGGCATTGGTAGAGGGTGTTTCCTCACCTCGAAGTTACCTCTACAAATGAAATTATAGGTCCAGCCCCACTATCTAGGCAGCTAGATGGGTCAAAGTGGATATAGCACTGTCTTTAGTCAGAAGACCTGAGTTCAAATCCAGCCTCAGAAATACTTACTCCTTTGTGATTCTGGGCAAGTCCCTTAACCTGTCTGCCTACCTTGCCTCAACTGTAAAATGGGAATAATAACCGCACCTACCTCACAGGTATCTCAGATGAGATATCTGCAAGGAGCTTAGTACAATGGCTGGCATGTAGTAGGAATTGTCTAAATGTTTGCTCCCCTTCACTATCTAATAGGCACTGTATGTATCTCACTAGAGCCTTACAACAACCCTTTGAGGTAGGTGCAATTATTATCCCCATTTTACAGATTAGGAAACTGAGGCTGAAAGGAGTTAAGTTTAAAAAACCCAGGGTCAGTAAGTGTCTGAGGCAGGATTTAAACTCAGATTTTCCTAATTTCAAGTCAGGAACCACGGTCCAGCTCTTTATCTACAATAAGCAGTTATAGTTACTAATCTGTCAAAATTACTTTCTAATGTAAACAATCTTCAATGTATATTTAAAAAGTCTTGGTACAACAATAAACTTTTAAAGATTATCTTTTCATGCCTTCCTTAAACAGACTGAAATAAACATAATTCAGTGCTCTACAGAAGCCACCCATAAGTATTCCTAAACACTCCTTGAACTTTTTCATCATTTAGAATTATTTCACTTCTACTTCCTACTTACTACTACTTACTACTTACAAAATTCCACCTTTCGCTTGCTCTCTCCCTGTCCTAAGTCTCCCAACCCCCATCAGATTTTTGTCCTCATCGTGATCTCTCTTACTCCTTTCTCAGATCTTCCTCATTTGCCTCCCAAGACAACCTGGATGGAATCATCAGCCTATTTCCCTTATTTTTGATAGCATCCTACGTGACCCACTTCATTAATGCCCAAACTCCCTGGTAAAGCTCGATATTTACCTTCCTGCTGGTAGGCATCTAAGCATTGATGAGGAATGCCGAGAAACTTGTGGCCAGACTGGGTCCACTAGAGATTTTGTCTGATCTCAGCTGGGCCCACAAGGCTCGGGACTCTGTCTTAAGGGCTGATAGGAATCTTTTCTACTCTTTTCAAATTCCCAATTGTAGCCCTGCCTCCCCCACCTGTAGATAAAACTTTAATTCTTTTGGAAAAATGTAGAGGTCAACAGAGGCCACCCAGAAGAAGCTCCTTCACTCTGCTTTCAAAGGGAAAAACGCCAATCATTCTCTAAACCACCCCTAGGCCTGTTATCTTGATCACATCTTCTGCCGCCACCAAAACCTGGTACCGTCAATTACCCCACCTTCTCTTGCCTTTTCAAAGGCAAACCCTCCCACTGGTTCTTTCCCTTTAGCCTCCACCCACCCAAAACAACCCCGCAAATAGCCCACCTTTTCTTTCGGTCCAGACTTAGGATTTTATCAGTATAGGAAAGTCCCTTGACCAAAATAGATCTAGAATTGTAATTTGCCCAAGGTCTCACATCCACTAGGTAAATCTTATCTAAAATCCTTTCTGTTACTGAAAGTCTTTTCCAATCCCTCTTAAATCTAGTACTTCCTATTTTTCTTTAGCTTTTTTTTTTAGCAAGTCTTTAGCTTGCTCTGTATGTATTTGTTTGCATGTTGCTGTCCCCACTCCATTGTGAATTCCTGGAGGGCAGGAATTGTCTTTTATCTCTTTTTATATCCTCAGTGTGCAGTGCCTGGTACATAGGAGAAGCTTAATAAATGTTTATTAATGGAGAGGCTGACCTTGATTGACCTCAGGCCTTCCTGACTCTGAAACAGGCTCTATCGTCCCACCAGATGTCCTCAATCTTAAATAAAATAAAATAAAATTTAGACTTAGAGTGTAAAATGAGACAAATTTTTCGGATATAGTCAATGAGGAATATTTGTTAAAAGAGTGGGTATTTTTTTTTAATGAATGTAAAAACATTAATTGCTTGCTAGAGGTCAAGGTCTGTGTTAAGCTAAAGATATAAATAAAAAACCAAAAACCATCCCCAAACATTAAAAAAATTCAAATATTGTTCAGTTGTTTTTCAGTCATATCTGACTCTCTATGACCCCATTTGGGGTTTTCTTGGCAAAGATACTGGAGTGGTTTGTCATTTCCTTCTCCACTTCATTTTACAGATGAGGAAACTAAGGCAAACAGGGTTGGGTTAAGTGACTTGCCCAGGGTCACACCGCTAGCAAGTGTCTGAGGCCAGATTTGAACTCAAGAAGAGGAGTCTTCCTGACTCCATCCCTGGTGCTCTATCCACTGCTTCACCTACTCCATACATTCTAATAGGAAAGATCAAACAAAAGAACTGGGAGCCTGGTCATTTTGGTCTAAACTAAATTTAGAGAATGGGGAATGAGGTGAGGGGAGGGGGGAGGTTGGAGAGGCAATCTGGTAAGGACATAGAGGAGGTGGCCACCAGATGGCCAGGTGGGATAAAAGGAAGCATGTCCTGGGTTTTTCCTAAAATAGTGGCCCAAAAGAATCAGTCACCAGTCAGGAGAGCTGCTCTTCCTGACGTCATCCTCCTCAAAGGGGAGTGAGGAAGAGTAGAAGAGAAAGAAAGTAGATTTTTATTAACTGAAAAAAAAATTCTTTTTTTGAAAGAAAAAAACTTCCATAGACCTTTTTATACACTCTTACCTAGCATTTCTTTCCTCTCCTTCACTCCTATACTTCCTGAAAAAGTAGTCTACGCTTGTTGCCTCAATTTCCTTACTTACCATTCAATCAACTTCTTAAAAATTGGCTTCTGCATCCACCACTTTCCTGACAGTCAGTGAAAGGTTTATCTATTTGGAACTCAAAAGATCCTTAGGAATTATCTAGTATAACCCTTCATTTTACAGCTAAGGCCCAAAAATTAGCTGATTTATCCTAGGTTACACAAGAAATAATCCAGTGCTTTTTCTACTACACCACAACTCAGTCAGTCAATAAATATTTATTAAGAGCCTACTATTACTAGGCACTGTATTAAGTGACTACGGATACAAAAAGAGGCAAAAGACAGTCCCTGCACTCAGAGAACTCCCAATCTAAAAGGCTAGACAAGGCAAACAAATATAGTCAAACAAGTTACATACACGATAAATAGAAAACAATTAAGAGAGAGGTAAGGCATTAGGATTAAGATGGATTGAGGAAGACTTCCTGTAGGAGGTGGGATTTTAGTTGGGACTTTAAAAAGTTTCATCCTAGTTCTCTTTCTATCCATCTGACCACTCCTTGGTCTCTTTCTCATCATTCTCCCCCAACCGGCTACTAAATATTGGTATCCTCCAGAGTTCTGTTTGCAACCTTACCTTTGCAAAGTTAACATATCAAAGACTGAACTTATCACCTCCTTCACCCCAAACCTGCTTCACCTCCTAATTTTCATATTTACATTAATAGTTTCTTTCTGGCTCAGAACTACAGAATCCCCTTTGACACCTCAGTTCTTAGCTTTGGCCTGGAATATAACCCCAGGCTTCTAAATGGTTTCCTAAAGGAAATGGCAAACTACTCCAATATCTTTGCCAAGAAAATCCCAAAAAAGGGGTCATGAAGGGTCAGACATGAGTGAAAGGACTGAACAACAACAAAAACCTCTAATCTCAACTCTTTCTAATTCATCCTACACACTGATGCCTAATGAATCTTCCTCAAGCCCCTGCTCTTGTCTCCCCTGCTGCTCATAAGCCACGTAGCCTACAGAATAAAGTTCACCTTCTTGACTCTCACATTGAACTTAACTCCAGTCTACATTTCCAGACTTATCTTTCAATCCTTTCCCTTTAACCATTCTAGGTTCTAACCAAGGTAGACTACTTGGACCCTATTCAAATTGTTCCTGCATTTTCCCACCTCCTTGTCTTTGGCTCAACCAATGGCACAACTCCTCTGCCTGGAAAGCCAGTTACTGCCTTCCTTCATACTTGACCTCAGGTCTGCCGTCCAATTCCTACCCATGCTTCAAGGCTCATTCAAATGCAATTTCCTTCATTAAAGCCTTTCCAGACAACACAGATATGCTATATTGAAGAAAAGAATTTGATGATAGCCAAGGGATACAGGAACACTGGTTATCGGG